GTGCTTAATTGTGTTTTATACTTTAAGATACTTCCCGGAGAAAGGTGTTGAGAGACTGCATTAAAATAGTCCTTTAAATTAAAAGCAAACAAACAAACACCTTTCTATCAATAATAAATACATTTCCATCAGAACCTGATAATAACCACAGCAGTCCAAAAAGTTGCCACAGAGGGAAATTCAGTTAACCTTTTTTAACCTAGTGTTAATATTTGTTTTTACTAAGGATTTTAAACTTGGCTGCTTCTGGGACCATTTAACAGCAAAGAAAATAGAGCTGCAGTCGGTAGACTTCACTTTATTTCACTCAGGGGAGAAGGAAGGTTTGAACTTTCCACAGAAACTGAGTGAGGATCTAGTTGTAGATGATTGTTTATGTTTTATGTATGATATAGATGATTGTAGTAAATTGTAGTTTGTGTTTTATCTTTTTGTTTGAAATAAAAAATAATAAAAAAGAAACTCAGTGAGGATTTCGTTCATCTTAATTTTACTAAACATTAGTCCCTGATAGCTTATTTTGTATTTCCCCTCTAGCTTTAGAATGTTAATTTAATGAAAGCAGAATCCTTTTCTTTGCCAGCCTGAATTTACTCATGTCTAAGGCTGCAGTCCTAAACCCACATCCCTTTGATCTCAGGGGGGTTTACGTCTGAGTAGACATGCCCAAGATTGCATTGCACTTCTGCTTTTGTGTCCTTGTGATGTTGTCCAGTTTAACTGGGGAGCAGGGTGTGATGAGCTGACCTCCAAAACCAAGATGCTTAGTGCATTGAAAGCAGAGAGTTCGAAGATTTAGGGTTAATGCCTCACTGTAAAGCACAGTGATTGACAGGCTGCTGCCTGCTGCACCCCCCCCCCATCTCTCTCAGCTGAGGAGAGCTTTCTAAAGTCTAGTCAGTCTTGTCAGAGGGAGTCCATCCTTCAGGCTTTGGCTTCGCAGTTGCCAGTCATGAGGAGTGTGTTTCAGTCTGAGGGAAACAGACAAGTCACTTGGGAAGTGAAGGGACACAACTCCTTGCCTTTACCGTGGACCAACACATTTGAGGAAAAGTTCAAAAATCAGAACTTAAAGTCTGTCAGCCCTAGCTGAATTCCATTTATTCACTGTCTCCAGAACTGGGGCTTAGGTTTGACAGAAGAGACTGGACAGGAGGTTGGAAACTGCCAGTCTAGCCAAACAGGAAAAGAACATAAGAACATAAGAACATAAGAGACGCCAATGTTGGATCAGGCCAAAGGCCCATCCAGTCCAACACTCTGTGTCACACAGTGGCCAGAAATACCAGTGCCATCAGGAGGTCCAGCAGTGGGGCCAGGACATTAGAAGCCCTCCCACTGTTGACCCCCCCCCCCAAGCACCAAGAAGACAGAGCATCACTTGCCCCAGAGCCCCTAGCTATACCTTGTGGCTAATAGCCACTGATGGACCTCTGCTCCATATGCTTATGGATGATAACTCCTAGAAAGAGGTGGATACATCTTACCCAGTAAGTCAGAGGGTTCAACTCAGAAGGGAACCCTGGTTTATGTGAAAAGGGAAACAGTCTTAGACTCCTCAAGAGTAAAGAAGGGAAGTTATAATCCCACAAAGGGAAGTATTCCAATACAGGAAGGAAGCACTAATGGCTCTGCAGGGCCTGCAAGGCAGTGATGTTCTGCCAGTAGGGTTGCCAAGTCAAAAAAAACGGTGGGGGAGCCTCGCCAGGCTCCGGGAGCTGTCTCCGGATGTGCGCGTGTAGTGCATAACCGGAAGTGACGCGCGACGTCGACCACATTGAGGGCGTGGCTCCGATTGTCGGAGGGAAAACCATAGAGTTTTCCCTCCAACGATCCGGGCCATGCCCCCAACGTGGTCGGCGTGGTTGTGTCACCTCTGGTGACGCAGCCATGCTGCGCTTTGGGGGGCGGAGTTCCCCCCGGGGCCCGATTCCGTGGCGGCGGAAATCGGGCCTCCAAAGCGGGGGTTTACCCGCCCTCCGCCCCCACTTGGCAGCCCTATCTGCCAGGGTTTTGGTTGAGGACAGCCACGGTTCCATCTTGGCTTTGCACCCTTCTCTGTTCTCTACTATTTACATCTACCTCACCCTCTTCCCCCTTGTTTACAAAGTAGCTGGCAGTTGGAACTGGGATGGATTAATTATTCCCACTCTGACTGTTTGAAATGTTTTATTAATGTTCTAATTGATTTTATCGTGTTCTGTTTTATGGCTTTTGTACATTGCCAAGAGCCCTGCTGTGGTGGGGTAAGTATAATAAATAATAATAACTTCCAGGAAACTAAGATAGTTTTGTGAAACTTAATTAAGACACATTGTTGCTGAAAGAAATCTCCAAGACAAACAAACCTCTCACAGTTAAGAACTGAGTCTCTAAGAATATAAGCTTCAATTATACTCTATTGCCTGTTCAAAATATTCTGATTTGTATAAACAACAACAGTTTCCTCAACTTCTCATCCCCTGTCCTATTCCTGATTCAACTGTGCCTGTTGAATAAAGTCAACCTTTTTGTTTCAACTTTACTTTGTGTCGAGAGCCATTTCCAAAGGGTTTTTATAAAAGGGCTCCTGCTGAGTTACAATAAATCTCTGACCTGGGCAAAAGCCAAATAACTTCTCTATCACAGTGTGGGACATGCAGAAAGTTATAATTCTATAACAGAAACATGCTACTAAGAGGCTGCTCAGGAGTGGGGAATAGACATTACTAACAATAAACCAAAGGGACACTACTAATACACTAACATTTATATTTGTTTTTCACAGGTCAAGATGAAAGACGATTGACAACTCGCAGAAGAAGCCAAAAGAAGATTTGTTTAATACTAACAAAAGATTAACATACTAATAAGAGCAGCACTCAACCTTTTCTTAGTCCCGCTATATACCTTCCCCTTTTCTGATATTAAAAGCAATAAACTCTCTCCTTTTTAGGAGAGTTAATAATAATAAAAAAAGGAGTGGGGAATAGTGTTTTTTTGGGGGGGGGGAAATCTACCTCACAGAGAAGAAGCAGCAGAGGTCCATCCAGGGGCAGATTTACTATGAAACCAGCTTCAGGGCCCCTTAATCCTGGAGTGGCTCTGAAGCAACTTTTTAATGAGTGAATTTTTCAACAAAACTGTTGGCGTTTTTAAAGTGTTTGTTATTAAAATAAGGCTATTTTAGTGACAGAACCATAAGCCAGTGGGTTGAAGTACTTAATATTGACCTTAGAATATGCTCTAATACCCATTTCATATGGTCTCAAAATGTTCCTGTAACCAATGCTCCCTCTAAACTGTGGAGTCTTGTGAGCAAAGATTCTACTTTGTGAGCTGCTGCCTGCGATTTGGCTACTGCATAAATCACTTTGCTCTGGAGCCATCCTTCCTGAGCTGAGACAAAAATGTGTGAGCCGGTGGCTAAAATACTGTGAGCTAGCTCACACTAACTCAGCTTAGAGAGAACACTGCCTGTAACTGGTCAGTTTTCAAAATTTCCTTGGGGGCTTGCAGCACCCCAACCCCCAGCTGTCTGGGCTCGCAGAGCTCTCCAAATTCTATTCACAGCCTGCATTTGGGCAGCTGGATCCTCAAATCCTTCCTTGGTGCTCCGCTTACTTGTTCTGCAACTCAGCCCTTAGCCAATCAGAACCATAAAAAGACACCTGAATCCTCAATTCAGACCCTTTGGACAGTTGTTGGATGTTGCCCAATTGTTGCTGGTTGAGAAAGGCCCCCCATAACAGGTCAAGCTCCAGGGTCCCAAAAATGTAGGTCCGCCACTGAGTCTGTCCAGGGGCAGATTAACCATTAAGCAGACTAGGTACGTGCTTAGGGCACCAGGGGCAAAGGGGGCACCACAAAGTTGGGGAAAGGGTGAAAAGCTTAGTTTGTACAGTATACTGTGTTATCTTATGAATTAATTTTTGTATTGCTGCAACCTGCATTGTATATCTGGTCAGACCGGTCAACAACTAAAATGGACTGGGTCAGTGTGGAAAGGGGGGGGGCACCAAGATTGGTTGCTGCAAGGAAAATACGGGCCAATGGGGTTCCTAGGGGAACTAGCTAATACTGATTTTAGTGGGTATGCTGTGAATTAATTAACTGTTTATAACCTTGGTTTTATGGATTTACAATGTTTTAGACTGTATTTTATTTTATACAATTTTCTATGTTTTATTGCATTCTTTTCTGTTTGTGGTTTGTAACGGCCTATGGCTAAATACTGTGAGCTTCTCTATCACCAAGACTGGTCAGTGTTTAGGACACCAGTGAGCCTTAATCCGCCCCTGGGCCTTATGGAGTGATTTTAAAAGGTTTGAAGGGGGGGACGACCACAGCGGCTTTTGTAGACTGTGTATTGCCATTTAAAAATGCCTCCAGTATTGTTTATGCTGTTATTTTACAACTTGGGTTTCGCGGTTCGTGGCAGCACAAGTCACTCCAGGAGCCCACTCGCTTGAGAGCGCTCCCGGTTGAGCGCGTGCGTGTTTCGGCTCGCCGGTCTCGCGTACCGTTTAATCGTTTGTTAACTTCGGTGTTCTGGCTCAGGATAGCGCGTCGCCGCCGCCTCACACATCCTACAACGGTCTGCCGTTTTGAGAACGCCCTGTAGCTTTAAAGGAGGGCGAACCCTGGCGAACAAAGAAGCATTTGTTTAAGAGGAGATTAATTTTCCTTTTTATGGATCCCGCCCGCCAGGTCTCCCTCAGGTGATGAGAGACCAGCCGCTCGCCTTTTTCCCCCTGAGAGCGAGAGAGAGGACACAGTTCCCGCCCTTTGCGCGCGCACGTGCGTGCAGGCAGCGCGGCCGGCCGAGAGGCGGAAGAATCCCTCCGCCTCTTCGCGCTCTCGACCCGCGTGTGCCCCTACGAAGACCATCAGTCTCCCCCCCCCTCCCTCCTCTCCTCCCAGTCTCTCCCGGTCTCCCAATGGGCCGGCTGCCGGCTCGTGAGCGCGCACGTCACGGATAGGCGTGAGCGCGCTGGGCCGAGGCAAGTGGGAGTGAGGGAGGCTGCGAGGCGAGAGGGCGGGCAGGTGGGCGCTGAGGGGAGACGGTGCTCGCTCGCTCTCTCCCTCTCTCTCTCCTGGCTCCGCCGCCGGGAATGCGAAGCGATGGCCGCGGGCGGCCCCAACGCTGAGGAGCGAAGCTACTGCCGATTCCTGGAGCTCTTCTTGGTCGAGTTCCGAGGACCTTTCGGAGAGGAGCCGCCGCCTTCCTCCTCCTCAGCCCCCGGCGCCGCGGCGTCCTCAGCCGGCGGCGGGGCCGAAGGCGAAGCCGGGCACGCTGATGGAGCCGCCGAGGCGGAGGAGATTGTGAGGGAAGAAGAGGAAGAAGGAGAAGAAGCGGAGCCGCCGCCGGCCGAGGAGGAGCAGCCGCCGCCGCCTGAGGAGGAGGAGGAGGAGGCGGTGGAAGCGGAGGAAGGAGGGGGGGAGGAAGAGGAAGATGCCGCCGCCGCTGCCCCTCAGGAGGACGCGGGGGAAGAAGCGAGCGGAGCCGCCGAGGAAGCCCTGCCCGAGCCGACGTCGCCGGGGCTGCCCGCTCAGCCCTCCTCGCCGCCGCCTCTTTCCCGGGCGGCCACTCCTCCTCCTCCGCCGCCGCCTCTGCCCGCGCTGCCCCGGCCGCTCTCGGAGCACATCACCGAGGAGGAGGTGGAGGGCGAGTGCCTGGACCTTTGCCTCCAGCAGCTCTACAAGTAGTGAGTAGCCCGGCGGCCGGGAAGGGGAAGGAAGGGCGGGGCAGGGAGGGGGCAGGTAGGCAGGCGGGCGGGCGGGGAACCCTTTGCTCCTCCGTCCTCGGCTCGGGAAATCCCGAGGGGGGAGAGCAAAGGGAACGTGCCTCAGAGCATGGGCAGAGTGTGCACCCTCCCCCCCCCCCGCTCCGGGGCTCTGCTTCCAAAAATGTGCCTTCTCGGTCTTCTCCCCACCCCTCGGTTTCCTAGTTCAGTCCTGGAATATGCGGATGGATAGCAAAAGGAACCTGCCCTCAGAGCGTGGGCAGGGGCTGCAACCCTTCCTTCCTATAGGATTTTGCTGCCAAAAGTGAAATGTGCCTCCCCTTCCTGCCCCAGCTCAATTCTGGAATGTATAGGTGGATAGCTAAGGAGAGGCGGCTCTGACAGTGTGCAGAAGATTTCTGTTTTTTCTCCCCCATCCTATCCTAAGTGACTTTATTTTGTGAAAGAGCAGCACCTCTGTCCCTTTTCTTCTTCTCTCCCCCCCCCCAGTTTAATTGTGGACTGTGAACAGTAAGGTGTGTTTGGACAGAGGGCTCCATCTTCCCCTTCAGTTCAGAGACTTTCTGTTTAGAAGAGACACAAGGCTGTCCTCCCACCTCAGTCTTGTAATATATAAATGGGATGGTGGTGGAAAGTGCCATTAAGTCACAGCTGTTTTATGGCAACCCCACAGGGATTTGAGCGCAAGAGATGTTCAGAGGTGGTTTGCCATTGCCTGCCTCCATGTCTCTGGTATTCCTTGGAGGTCTCCCATCCAAATACTAGCCAGGGCCAACCCTGCTTCGCTTCTGAGATCGGAGGTGATTTGGCTAGCCTGGGCTGCCCAGGTTAGGTTTAGGGTTAGATAGATAGATGGGATAGCAAAGGAAAAAGGAGCCTTGGAGTATGTGTACAATGCCTTCTCCTTTCCTCCCTAGCTTTAGGACTTTCTTTACAAAAGAGAGAGTTTCCACCCCTCCATTTTATCAGCCGTAGAATCTCAGATGGTAGTAAAGGAAAGGTGTCCCTAAGTATGTACGTATTTATTTAAATTTATAACCCGCCCTCCCCGTGAACAGGCTCAGGGAGGCGTATAGAAGATTCTTCCTTTCTAAATAACTTTGTTTTAGAAAGGGGGACACACCTCTAGTCTTGCTCTCTTTTTCTAAATGTAATTCTTGATAGCACAAGATAAGGTAACTCTGAGTATGGACAAAGGGTTCTGTCTTTCCTCCCTCTTCTTTTCAAAGGAGAGATGTGGTAAAGGGAAAGAAAGCACCTCAGTCCTGGGCTATACAGGTGAGTGCAATGGGGAAGTACCTTGGAGCTGGGACAGCATACCAGCCCCACTACCTCCCCCCCCCCCAGCTCAGCCCTGGAATATGCAGGTGGATAGAAAGCAAGAAATTGCAAGTCGATAAATAGGTACCACTTCGGTGGGAAGGTAACAGCATTCCGTACACCGTGCTTTGAAACGGAGATGAGCACCGCAACCCTAGAGTTGGACTCAACTGGCTTTCGAGCAAGGGAACCTTTTTGATAAAGGAGTAGTGCCCCTGTCCGTGTACAGAGGGTATTACTTCCCTCAGCCTCCCCCCCCCACCAATTAGGAGCAATGTTTCTGTGTGAAATGGCAAATGGGTGATATACAGGCAAACTTGAGCAAACTTCCATTTCAGAAATAGTGTTAAGGATCCTGCTGAGCTTAATTTGAGCCAGGATTCTATTTTGGAGTCTGGGTTTTGAAAATCTCCCTATTTCTCCTTTAGCAAATCTGGAATATGCAAGATTGAGAACGAAGGGTACTCCTGTGTGTGCATGTGGAGTGGCCTATTTGAGTGCTGTCTCTGGGATTAGGAAGCAAGGCTTCCGTGGTGGGCTTCTAGCTGGGCTTGAGCCCCTATTGTTCCCCTGTTCCTTCTCTAAAAGAGGTTGGCTGAAAAATTGGTGTAGAAACGGAAAGTGGACGTAGGTGAAATAAATGGCGTTGGGAAATAAATGGTGGTGAATTGGCCCTGTGGCATATTGTAGGAGCCTAAGGTGTTAAAGACTGGCATCAGAAGCTAGGGAACAGGATATTCTGCTGGGTGAGAGAGGGGAGGCTGGTCAGTTTCTTTTGCAAAGTGATGCTGGATCTCAAGCCTGCTTGGAAGTGGTGTACACTAATAAGGAAGCCTGGCCAACTAATTCTTTGTAAGTTTTTAATTTGAATTTATAGTCCATTGTTGTTGCATTGTTAAAGCAAATGATCAAATCACTAAAATGGGTACTTGGAATAAGAGTAAAAAAAGGAAAATATATGATCGGTGGTGAAGGAAGAACACTCTGGGCGTACTCTTAACTATCCTATCTGTTCTATGGTTGAGAGCTGAAAAAAGATGTTTGGATCGAGCTCTTAGGTGCTAGCCAAACACTCTTGGTGAACCCTGCCTTGAATGGTGTGCGAGGGACAAAGATGGCTCTGGGGAGAGATGGGCTGCCTGAGCTGAAAGACTCAAGGAGGTTTGTGTACCAGGAAAAAGTTGGTTTCAGAAACTGAGGAGGCAGATTAGATTTTGGTGCAGGGAACCACATGGTGGGCATAGGGAATGGGGATAGAGATTGTGGGCTTGGCTTGTGTGGCTTGGGAGGTCTTGACCAGGCCAAAAGGCCTGGTAGAGGACAGGCACATGAATTAAGCAAAGCAGGCAGTGAGATTATAGGCTGTTCAATGGGACTGATGTCATATGGAGGACAGTGCATGATACACAAAGATTTCATAGAAGGTGGGGAGACTTTTGGGAAAGAGCTGGGTGGTGGTGAAAGCAGGGAGCCTAATTTGAATGGTAGTGGGTTTTGAATTGCTTGGCAGTTGAAAGATTTGATCTTGGGAGCTTGGAATGGGCTTCTCCTCTCTGAAATCCACCTGGGTTGGTACAGTGATCTTAATTATAATGCTGCTTTCCTTCTCAAAGCAAGTGTAGATAGATTGGGCTAAAATTAATTTGGAGCCGTGCAGCATTTTGAGTGGGGTGTGCTTGTGTGTGTGTGGGAGATATGCTTCATATATATGCAGCCAAAATAGGGATGAGTATTCCACAGCTGTTTATTAAGAGGTAATGCAAAAGGGAGTGAGAGGGAAAGAGCACTGTATTTGCAAGCTTTATCTCCCAGGGAAGAATGGGTTCAAAATTTTAATGGATCTAGGAATGCGGTGTGTACTGGGCTACATTGGATTGGTTTCTAGGTCTGTTTTGTGGAAGATTTGGACCACAGAGAGGAGACAGACGGGGTCTATTCCCAGTGTGAAAAGCCTATGGACTTAAACCTTAAGATCAGTTACCCATGCTTTGTATTGTTTTCAACTTTAGCTTCGTAGGCTGGAAATAAGAATGATTGTTAGTGCTGTTTTCTTCAAAAGAAACCTTTTAAAACTGATACTGCTGGAGGAGAGAAAAGAACCTGTGAAAATATGCACAGCAGGCCAGGGAGCTTTTTGTCACTGAGCTGATAATTGTAGTAAAAGGTGTTACTCCATTGGCACAGAGAGAGCGAACAGATTCTACAGTGATACAATTTCTGTTGTCATCTTTGCATTAATGGGCAACAGGATGGGAGCTTAGAAGAATAAAGATTTCATATTCTCATATATGCTTACTCCCACCTCCATTCCTAAAATAATCAGAAAAATGGCTCCCCCCCTTGACATTGTAGTAATTTAATTGTATATGAGAACATGGCTAAAATATCTATTTCGAGCTTCTGTAATCCTTTTTTTTTTAAACCCCCGAGAGGGTATTTTTATTATTTTTCATTAGACTATTAACTACAACGAAAAATAAAGGAAGGGGGACTACATCTAAGGATAAAGGAAAGATACACTAACTAAAATCCCAAGAGTAGGAGATCCTGTCCATGTTAATCTAAATGTTAGTAAGACAAGTGTTAGTGATACAATATACTTGTGAAGTTCTTGTTTAACACATCGTCTATATTAGTAAGTTAATCTTTGTGAGATTACTTCTTGAGCATCTTCTTTACTTCAAAGAGCAATTTACAGAGTCCTTCTGCCCTTACTTTGGTTTTCTATCCCTAAAGTCATACACAGTTTTCGTTGCTCCTGCACCCGCTTCCCCCACAGTCCTTGTCCGTTCCCGAAGTAGTAGAGTCATTTGACTTGGATTCTTCTTCTTTAAGTTCTTCTTCCGGCCCAACCTGACGTCTCAAAAATTCCTTAGCTTTAAAGATGGAGTCAATCTTTTCTCTTTTATTGTTGACTTTAAAAATTACACCTTCCGGAATCGCCCACCTGTACTGAATTCCATTAGTTTGAAGAAATGAGATCAATTCCTTGTAGCCTTTCCTCTTTTGACGGATTTCAAATGGGATATCCTTTATAGTCTTTATGATTGTATACCCAATTTTCAGTGGATTTACCGATGTTGCCTTTAATACCACATCTCTGGTCTGTCTTCTTGCGAATCTCATCACAATCTCTCCAGGCAGGTTATTTTTTCTGATATAATTAGAGTATACCCGATAGGCAGCCTCCATGTCTTTTACTATTTCATCTGCTGATATACCTGTTACTGGAACGATGATCTCTCCCAGAGTCTTCTTTAAATCTTCTTTTTCAATTTCAGGCACCCCCTGAAATCTGAGAGTCATGTTAGCTTTTTCCATTTGAAGCTGTAACAAACGAGTTTCCTGAAGTTTTTGTGTTGTTTCCACATCCGTCACTCTTTTCTTCATCTTCTTATTTGCGGTATCCATCTCTGTAATTTTCACAGTTGCATGCTCCACTTTCTTCTCCGTTTCTGCCAGCTGGCGCTGCTGCAGAGCGAAGTTTTGGTTTAGTGTGGCCAATTGCTGGTTAATACCACCGAGTTGCTCTATTACTGGCTTCAACATATCCGCTAGCAACTTCATGATGTCTTCTCCCTCTTCTGGTCTTGGGCTCTGACTGCCTGGTTTCGGTTTTAACTTTCCTTGGGAAGCCGCCA